ATTTAAATTGCTACATAGAACTTGCAGAGACCTTATTTAGCAAGCCTCATGAGATAGTTTGTTAGCAAATAAATTCTCAGTGAGAAAACGAGCACATTGCCCACATACTAATGTCTAAATTCAATATTTTAAGAACTCCATTCATAGAATCATTTCTTTTTTGGAAAAAATGGCACTAGAAATTGCTTAGCAGCAGTCCCTACTATTGTTATTTGCACTATAACCCATATCTACTGCATTATTAGTACTAGTGCATTAATCATATTTATTAATAGACTATTATTAATAGATAGAGTAGGTGATTCCTGCACGCTTGTCAGAAAAAGTTACAGAGCGCACACCAAGTCACACATTACAGATGTTAGATGATATTACAATATAACATTATATCACATTAAATACAGTGCAGAAAATGAACTAAAATAAAAAGATGGGTGGCAGTACCCTGTAGAAACACTACTTTCCCAAAGTCTGTTTTATACACTACAATGACTTTCTATTTTTAAGTACAATTTAAGAGACTGAATTCTACAATCTGTTTTAAAATTCTTAAAAGAGAGATATGAACGATGTTCACTACAGAGTTTTGGAGCCACCAATGCCTTTGGAGGCAAATAGTACAGCTGAATGGTCTAATGGGTGTTTTCAATCAAAATATATTGTTCTTATTCCATGTAGGAACTGCATTTTAACACATGCCACAGCTCACTCCTACCAACGAATCAGTGGTAGAAATCCTAAAAAAAGATGACCTCTTTTCAAATTTGATATTGCTGCACTATTGCTGATCTTGAAACAGGCAATTGATTCACCTTGATTTAAACATACTTTTTAATCTGTACTATGTAAAATAATTATTGATATCTGTCCCTAGTTTTGGAGCATTTAAATGTAATCAGTTTCCAAACTAAAGACTATTTTCTTACTCAAGCACTTACCAAAAAATCAAGCCAAAACAACTACAAGAAAACAAGAAAACTTCAATCTGGAGCACACTCCATAATGTTCCATAAGCCATAGGCACACACGTCCAGAATGTATAAGGATATTAGATCTCTACATTTTAATAATAAATATCCTTTCATTCATCATTTACTTAATTCTTGATATCACTCAGTTTTCAGAATCCTTCCTTTTGATATGAAACCAATTTTTGTTTTTCACTGAAATCAGTGAGGGATTCAAGGAAGAGGCAAGTCAGGGAAAAACCCCAACTCTGTGCTTTTACCATTATATTAAATGGACTAAAACAAATCAAGAAAAATTTTAAGCAGTTAAATAAATACTAAGGGAAGTTCAAACATGAACATTCAAGAAAAATGGAAGTTGTAACATACTCTAAAAAGCGCCTGATTCTTTGATCGCAGATCATTTCTATGTACTCAAAATTCACAATAACAAAAAAAGGAATGAAAGGGTAAAGAGAGCACAGTAAGGACAACACCTTGGGCTCCTCATCCAGGTGTTTTTCTGCTGCTGATAAAACTGAAAGGAACACACATTCCATTAAACACTTCCCTGTACAAGTCAGTGTCTCTAAAGCACCTTTGGGGGGCACATTTTGTGATCCATTCAATATAATCAACTCCTACAGTCTAAGCTAGTGACTAGACAACTTTTAAGGTCCATTCCCTACCAAAGCATTCTATGATTCCATGAACTGACAACATGAGCAAAACAATTCCAGCCTCATGTGTATCATAACTAAGGTGAAGAATTTGACTGGTCCTCTCTCTGTAATGCTGCAAGAACTGATGTAAAACTGAATTTAGAATCTGAAATTTCTAGGGTTATCCCTGCTGGTCGTTTGCCAAAAAACTCAGCCCATTATCATTAACATATTTTGAATCATCCTTCAGCAGTTTTGTCAAATAATTCTTACAGAGGCAGTGCTCACATATACATCTGGTTATTTACTGTAGTGAAGCTCAGGAACATAAAATCTTGCCCTTTGGTTCCCACCCAGGCACCCCCCACTATAAAATATCTTCTATTCAATATTCTGAAGTTTTTTGTGCAACTTGTATACATTAGAAAAGAATAATAAAATATGCAGTTCCTTTTAGCAACAGCAGTACTCTTCTACAAATCTCAATTCTTTTTTAGAATGATTTGCTAAATCTGTTAATGCCAGTGAGAATTCTCGTTGTGAAAGAACAGCCACATCAGGGACTAGTCAGGAATACAGAAAAAGCAGAGTACTGTGACTAATATTGTTAATGCCTCTTTACACAAGATTACAGAGTCACATTCTCAAATCCTGAGGGGAATTTGGCTTAGTAGTTCACCCTCTCTGATACTTTTAAAGAACAGAATGTAAGGTGCTAAAAATATTTTTTGGCAAGAAAATAATCTGAGACACTCTTAGAGGTAAAATAATTTCACAGTAGGTGGGTGCAGGCACAGGAAACAGTTTGGAAGGTAATGAAGAAACTGCAGTTTGTTGTGATTAACAGACAAAATAAAATTATGGAGTCATGTTCTCCATTCCTCAAAAGAAATGTGATTTATAACAAACTTTTTGTAGAAAGTATCTACTTAATGTTATTCCTTTGAGCAGCAAATTACTTTAAATAGTGGTATTATAAACAACAGGCATGTAATGAAAGAATGGTTAGAATGCAGATTCCCATGGGATTTTTTTAACTGTCTTACAATATATCAGAAGCCATGAGTTTCTTTTATTAGCTAAACAAGCAAAAAAAGTACATAGCATATAAATTAGTATTTAGTTAAGCATCTTTAAAAGTACTATTTGACTAATATTTTTAAGTTCTCTATTCATAAGTTTGTGTTCTCAAACTGTAAAGGAGCATGGGGAATTTAATGATTGATTTTAAAAGGTAATATCAATAAGGAATGGGTATTCTGTACTGAAGAGAACAGGAAGTGACATAATTACTGAGAAAAAAATTAAGAATTCATGTTATTTTAGATTATTATATCAACACTACAGCACTACTTGGTTTAGGCAAAAAGTTTCTTATTCCTAAAGCACTTAGTCCTCTCACACTCTTTTACCAGCAATTTTTGTAGCAGTGATTCCCAGGAGAGACCTGCTGAAACACAGAAATAGGCACTCCCTGGAAAAGCTGTGTGACTCCTCTGTCTGCTAGCACTTTTGTTACACAATATTTTGACCAAAACATTAAGAACTCTTGCTTAATTTAGAAATTTGTTTTCATTTCATATCAGTTTCATTTGTTAACTTATTCAAATATAGAAATATCATCTCCCATCACAAACCAATATGTCAGTGACCATATTCTTCATTCACTCCTACACTCAGCAACTTCTCTTTCAGAGAAGGGCAGTAAAACAAATATGCACCCAGAAATGGTGCCATTTTCAAGCTGAAAAAACAACTCCCTCATCACATCAAAAGAATCCTGGTTTAAAACATGAGGCATTAAATTTAATAGCAAATGGCTCCCAGAGACAGATAATGAAGTATTTTCACAATGGTGAGTACTTACTCTCTTATTCCTATAATCCCAGCTCAATTAACAGGACAACTAATTTTTTAAGTGGCCATATTCTGGCCTTCTGTTCTACTTGGTAATAAATTAGTAGGGGTTTTTTTGTTTCATACTACTGACAGTATGCAATATTATTAAAAAATTAGAAGGACATAGCTTCTTTTTCAACATCCCCAGTCAACTTCTCTTTTCCTCATATAAGATTCAAAATCTCTATGAACATGAACCTGCCTGTAGCCTAGGTCTCCACTGAATCTCAAGAGGAGCTATGCCTTTCACAAGCCAGATTCTGATTTATACCCTATTTAGAGATATTTGTTTGAAAGTCAACAATGTGAAAAAATAATGCAGTATTTTTTTCCTCATAAATTCCAGAAAGCTATACATTCAGAACAAATTGGTTTTGCTCACAAATTGTTACGAAAAAATACACTACCATATAAAGTATCTAGTAGTAAAATAGATTTTTTTTTAATAAACACTTTTTTTTTCTGACTTCACATTATGGAAAATCACAAGACTTTTTTATCCCAGAAAGATGAAGCAGCTGGTGCAGAACCTGACTGGAAAAGGATTCTGCTCTCTGTAGTTCTATAGTATAAAAACTACTTTACAGCCACACTTCATTGTACTTTCGGCTCTTATGCAGCCTATTCAAATCAAATAAATTCTCAGCACATGCTTATATGATCTGTCTATTCAATTTATATTAAAAAGTAATTCTTAATACTTTCCAGATATTTAGCTTGGGCAGCAATACACATAAGAATGAGCTGATACTTAATAAGTTTTGCATCAAATCTAAATTACAGCAACTGAAATCAATGAAGACAGATTTTCAGATTTGTTGTCATAGCCCTGCCACATGCAGTTGGTCTGCTTTCTCTGACTTGAGGTCTCAGGGCCCTTTGTTTCAGACTGATTGCTTCCAGATGTATGGGATAGTGTCAGTGGAGAGAAAGAGAAGGTATACTTCACACTGGAGCAATTGAAAAATACACTCTGCAAATGAAAGTCAATTTCTTCAATGTATTTATTTATCCTCTCCTCTGTTACATGCTGAATTATTCTTTCTTATGTTTTTTAGTCAAACTCCAGAAAAACAGAGACTTTTTACCTGCACAATTTCTTAACCATAGGACTCTGCGCTGCCCTATTCAGGGCAAGACAATAATCCTATATCCACTGGAGAGCACTGGAGAGCGCTGGAGAACACTGGAGAACACTGGAGAACACCTGCCCTACTGGATTGCATTCAGAAGGCTTGCATTCTGGAAGCCTTCTGAAAAGTGACACATTTGCCATATGAAAGATCAAATATTCTAAGCATTGCACACAGTGCATTATTACACCATGACAGGGGCTGTGGTTATTAGTGGGAACAGAGTAAAATTGTGCCAGACTGCAAGTTCCCATTCTCCAGATCGTTGGTATTGGCAACTGCTATCTGCACATGGCATTGTAGCTCTGCATTGACCTGTGAGAAATACACCTGACTATTTTATTTCCTGTATTTCACAGATTTCTAACAGAAGTGAGCACACTGCCCTTATTGGACTCTCTCTTGTGCAAATCAGCTAGCAGCAGGAATTTCAAAGGAGCAGATAAAATGAACCATGTTATAGGTCAACAGAGGAGGATACTATCCAGGGAGCTTTCACTATTCTTCCTGTGTTGGCTGCCCTGCTGATCCATTTCTGCAGAGCTAGCAGTCAAGCTCCACTTGCAAACAGGACATTGGGTAAGAAAGTCTGTGTTTATTACAGAGCTCTTCTACTGTCCATTCTGTACTTCAATGAAACACTGAGAAAACTCTGCACTGGAATACAAAGCAATAAACCATAAAACTTCCTAGCCAAATATAATGTTTCCAAATGTTTCAGAATAATTCTTAAATTCCTACATTTGTATTTAAGGTGAGAGTCTTGCAATTATAAACATGTGACACTGCAAATTATAATTAACATTTGGTTTTATTGTACTTCTTATTACACGAACAGTATTTTTTCAGAAGAAAACTTTGAAAGGGAAAAAAACATACATAGAAGAAAATATTTCAAAAAACACGGTCATCAAGTGCATGCAATTTTCAGTAACATAATATCAAATTAATTTGGTTTTAGCCAACAGGAACATTAAAACATAATAACCATATAATCCTAAAACTCCATTTTCTTATGCCCTTAAGTTATTAGTTCTGGATACAGAGAATCAAGAAACACAGAATTCAAGAGAGTCAGGCAAGTGGAAATAGAAACAGGAGACAGATTCACCTGGTGGTACAGACCTATTGAAGAGGATGTGGAACTTAAGTAAATTTTTTACTCTTTCTACATCACAGGCTTATTTTTACACAGCTCAAGGGATAAAGAGAATTATTTTGGTCGCCTAAGATGTAGGACCTGTCTTCATATAAACAGATCACAGCCTGTCACAAACACACAATTCCCTTTTACAGATCCACTAAAGCCTTTCCCCCAGGATATCTGGATATTATTTCTTCCTGACATAGCTCTTCATTTCTTTATTTATCTGCAGAATACACATAGCTGAGGCAGAAATTCTGGGACTTCTCTCTATTTCACATGGACAATGTGAAAACATTCAGAGAAGAACTAGAGGGAAAAAGAACAATTCAATCTTCACTGGCAATTCAAACATTGCCAAAAAAATCACTGAATGGTGCTTTCTGTCATTTGCCAATCTGAAATGTAAACTTCTAACTGAATTTTTGGGGGCTGGAGACATACAGTTAAGTCATGAAACATAGTGTAATGCTCTGACATACAATTTTTTGTCACTAGCAATGTGAACTGGAATTAAACTCACGAGTCAGAAGCAAGAGGATCCATAACTCAGTGTAAGCCCCTGAGTAAGACCTTTCAAGAGTTGTAACATCTGAACCCTTGGCACAGTGTTTCTAAAACAACAGCCTTCAGTCATAGCTATATTCCCACCCTCAGTGGTGCACTGCTTACAGTACTACGAGTTCTTATTGACTCCTTAAAAATAATTGTTGCCTCTTTCAAGAGAATTGTTTCTTAACTGGTTATTGTTCTATAGCTACAGTTATGTTGTCACAAATTTGATGTTTTCCTATTGCAGTTTACCACTGCAGTTTACATTACTATAGCAAACACTGCTCAAGAGCGTTATGGAACAAAGGCAACAAGACAATGATTTCTCTCTGTGCACATGAGCTGTCCAAATCAAGCATTTCCTTTGGTCCAAGCACAGACCTCAGAGGGGAAAAAAAAGAAGGCACTGCAAAAATTTTGCAATATAAATTGAATGCTGGAGGAAAGAATACTACATTCTTATGTTCTTTATTTTTGCTTTTGTTTTTTAAGAGCAAGTCACATAGAAATTAAGAATGTATTTAATTTGAATTCTTTGTACAGAACTGAAAAGCAACTTGGCACGGTAGGAACAAATACACTTGTGAATTAAAAAATTAATTTTAAAAAAACAGATAAGTTATATGAATATCATATATATCATTGCTAGTAGAAGCCCTTTAGTACCCAGTGCTCATATTTTATGGAGCATTAAATGGTAACATTTAAAAGGTATAATGCCACCTCCTAAAACATGTCTGCTAAATCTGGGTATAGAGAAGAAAAATGGAAGCATTGTTAAGCCAGGTATGTGGTCCTCTCACTGGACCTGATACACAAGTGAGCTGGCTGTGTGTCAAATGGTCTTCAAAAGTAAAATCAGAGCAGTGGGAACATCAACATGTTCATTCCAATCTGTTCACTTGCTTCTCTGTTTCCTGCTTTCACTTGGCCTTGGATCTATGTGGGGCATGCATGAATCATGAAGCATCAAAACCTCGTTATTCCCAAAATACATGATGAAATATTTAGATAAGATTTATGCAAAATGGGTCAGAATTTCTAAAAAAAAAAAAAAAAAAAAAAAAA